GGGTCTCCTCCAGGGCCCCTTGCCCACCGTCCAACCTCTGGGCCTTCAGCTGGGTCCACATCTGCCCCTCCTCACAATAAAGCCTGCCCCTCACTGTTTGCCTGAGTTTGGGGAGAGGAGGGTACTCAGAGAAGGGCAAAAGCAATAGACAGGCTAGGGGTCAGAGAGAGGAATGGAAAGGGGATCAGAGAGGGTGCTCAGAGGATGAAGGGCTCAGTAGTGGAAGGGGGCCCAGAAAGGGGAGGAGACTCAGAGAGGAGAAGGGCTTGAAGGAAGAGAGGGCTTGGAGGGGAAAGGGTTCCGAAAAGAGGGGCACAGAGATTGTTGGCTTGGAAGTGAAGGGGCTCAGGGTGAAGGAGGGGCTCAGGAGGGGGCGGGGCCAATAAAAGGAGGGGCCCAAATGGGGAGGAGAATGAAAGAGGGGAAGGGCTGCCCTGGCTGGTGTTGCTCAGTTGGTTGGAGCTTGGACCTGTGCACCAAAAGTTCACCAGGTTTAGCTCCTGATCAGAGAACACAGGTTTCAGTTTTGATTCCCCAGCCAGGGTGTGTACTGGAGGCAACTGATCATGTTTCTATCCACATCGATGTTTCTCAATCTCTCTCTCTCTCTCTCTCTCTCTCTCTCTCTCTCTCTCTCTCTCTCTTTCTTCTTTCCTCTCATAAAGGGCTGAGGAAGGGGCAGGGCTCATAGGTGAGGCTCTGGAATGGGGAGAAGACCCATAGGGGGCGGGGCACCCACGGGCGACTCCAGTGTGCACCCACCTTGATGGTGACGGTGCTCAGGTAGCCATTGGCGCTGTTCAGAATGGTGTCCTCGCTGGACAGCACCTGCTTCTTGCCTGGGAAGTCGTGTACCGTAACCTTGACAGGAATGTTACCTGTCCCACCGTGGGCCTCCAGCACCACCGTCTCCTCATTCTCCAGCCGCAGGATGTTGGGGGTGATTATGGAGAACCTGTGGGAGGAATCCGAAGGGTCATCCCAGGGACCCGACATTCCAGGCCGCACAGGGGTCTCCCCAGTCCCTGGTCTTGCAGGTCCCATGAAGCCCTGGACCTCAAAATCAGAGCTAGCAAGTCCCCCAATTATATAGGTTTACAAACCTACAGTTGGGGAACCCACATACATACTCCTGAAACCCTGATCCCTAAATCTTTAAACACCCTAAGTCTCTAAACACCCATACCCTCAGGCACCACAACTATACATACCCAAACTCACATATACCAAATCTTTGAACCCCAAATCCTTGAACACCCCAAGCCTCTACCTAAACCTTTATCACCCAGGCATATAAATACAACTAAATCCACCCCCACCCCAGCCGACATAACCCCACGCCACAGCTCTACACACATTGAAACCCATAAATCCTAAAACTGCAAACTCCCAAATCATGTAAAGTCAAACCACCACATCCACAGAATCCCCATACACCACCTGCAGTCTAAACCTACAGACCCCCAGTTTCATAAACATCCACACACCCTCTACACAATGCCTGAATTTCACAAACACCCAACCCATAGACCCGCAAAGTCACAGGCAGCCCCATCTATTAGCATTCCACCCACTAACTCCTCCTCCACAGGCATAATGCACTCTGAATTCTACAAGGACCTGAACCCACAAATGACCACTCCACCTCAGAAGTTGCCTTGCTTGGGGCAGGGTCATGACTACTCACATGGGGTCCCCCAGGACCAGGGGGAGACTGCTCAGCAGCAGCAGCAGTAGGCTGGGACCTGAGGCAGGCCCCATGGTACAGGGACAGTGGAGGGACAGAGGGACAGAGGGACAGAGGGACAGAGGGACTGAGGGT